CTGCCCGCAGCGCCCCCGCACTGCAGCCCGCGGCTCCACCGCTCCCGCTCCTACGCCCAGCCTCGGTTTCCCCAGCGCAGAGCTCCCCGCGCCTCTCCTCAGCTGGCCCTGCCTCTCGGGATGGGATGGGTCCGCCAGAGATGTTCGAGTCCTTGGGCCTTTTTGCCAGATCCTGAAAGGTTTCAGGGCTGTGGCTCAGGCATTCAACAGAAGTTTCCTTTCAGCCCCAAGAGCTCCCCCACACCAAATTCCTGCCCCCTTCACCTTTCAGAATATAAGGAGTAGAACTCGAATCCATGAAGACAGGGATTTATTATTCTACATTTATTTTACAGAAGAGGTTCAATTCCAAGCTACCACCAGCCTCCATGACTCCCTTAGGCCAGGTCACAGCAGCTGCTCCTTAGACATGGGATATTTTCCACTGGCCTCTGTTAACCAGCCACTTCTTCTGGCTCAAGACAAACATGTTGGGTTTTGGTTTTTTTGTGGTGGTTTGTTTTGGTGGGGTTTTTTTTTGGTTGGTGGGTGTTTTGGGCGTTTTTGTTTACTTGTTTTGGGTTGTTTGGTTAGTGTTTTGTTTGTTTGGGTTTTTACAAGCTCCCAAGCAATAAAGTGTTGTGGCTGCTTCATAGCCCCACACACCGCAGCAGCACCCGCCATGGGCTGCCTTCAGTGCAACTTCAATGGAGAGAAAAGGAGTGAAAGGCAGCAAGACATTCACAAGCAGCTTTGCACAACACTCAGTACTTCTTGAACTCGATTTTTTCTACTTTCACATCATCCTCAATCAGTTGGTATACATAAGTCACAACAGTGGAAGCCTGGATATCCATCAGTACAAACGAAGGGATGATATTCCTGGAAAGAAGATAAACTCTGTCAGCCTTCCCTATCAGCCTACACTCCTTGCCATTAGAATGCATAAGCATAAGGTGTGATAATATGCTTGGTTGCCAAGGGCTGCAGAGATTCGGGAAACTGCAGTTTGCAGGCACTGACAACAGCGGCTTAAGCAGGGCTGTGCTCAGCCTACAACAGTCCTTGAGGCTACTGAACAGCCTAAGTCATGTCAGGCTCTGATAATGCCTTCAGAAGTCCGATTTCCCATAAAACATTAGCATGCAGTTTCTGGGAAGGCATCCAAAAGTAAAGTGACATCAAGAAACTGCTGCAGTTTCCCCGCCCCCAGGCCCAGTAAGCGGGCCCAGCCACACCAGTGCCAGGCTGCCATGCCCAACACATGGGCTAAGCAAAGCCCCAGTAACAGAACTGCACTGCCCCAGAAAGGGAAAGCACTGGGCTCCTGCTCCTCGCAGCACCTCAGCAGTGCTCTGCAGCACAGTGGCCAGACACTCATAGGTGAACACACACATTTCAGGGCTGTGCTGGGCAGCTTGGGGCGTCTCTCACTCACGTTTCCAGAGCACTGTAGGCTCCTGTAGCTGATCCTGGGTTGATGTAGAATTTGTTTTCATATTCAAACGCTTCAAATCTGCGTGTGTGTCCCGAGATGAGAATGTCCACATCCAGCTGCCTCTGCAGCAGTGCCAGGCTGGCCACATCACCCCAGGGAAAAACCTGATGGCCATGAATCAGCCCAATTCTGAACTGCCCAATAGTTACAACCTTCTCTTCAGGATAATTCAGGTTCTGAGAAAGGCACAGCCTAAATCAGCCAAAGACCCCTCACCTATACAATGCAGGTTCTTACCTTCCAAGACACGAACCCCCTTTTCACGTTAAGCACACAAGGTCTCTTTCAATGTGTGAACCCACTGGATGCTCATACCACAGCCCAGCAAGAGCAACGAGCTGGGAATTTGCACAGAGCTCAGGGGCCTTTACCCAGCAGTAAATAAACATACACATACACACACCCCCTCAGCTCCTGCACCTACACAGCCACCTGGGGCATCCTAGTGGCCTCACAGCAATCACAGACTTGTGCCGGAGCTCATACAAATCAAGTGCATGTATCACCCCAACACCTAATCCCCTCTAACAAGCACAACAAGGGTCTAGAAAATAATTTTGTTTCTTCAGTCTTACTCATTCCTACTTCCTATCCTGGTGAATTGCAGTTAAGGAATTGCTAATGCTGAAGGACTACCAGGGTTTCATCAGGACAACCACAGCACGTGGGAAGGCAGGCTGAGGAGTTACCAGCAGCAAGGACGTTACCTCAGAGTCCCCCCTAACAACGCGGATGTCCACAGCCAGTGTCCTGAGGTAGTCATAGTTCTGCTGGGTGCGGAGGTTTCCCATGCACAAGATGTGCTGAATCTTTCCTGGCACCTTGAACTTCACCGGTAGGCCACTGCACCGGTGGGGGATGTGAAGGTCCCCTCATACTAACACCAGCTTTACACAGAGCAGGAAAAAACAGAGAGTTTGAACCCAGGTTACTCAGCAGAGCAGCACAAAACCTTTATGTCACTCCAGGGCGTTCGCAAAGCCTGGCAAACCATCGCAGGCCCAGCAAGGATTTCTGCCAGGTCCAGCTCTGAGGAAACAACCTCTCAGCACAGCCGAGCTGCCCCGCACGGACAACCCAGCCCGCTCCCCACGGCCGGCGCTGATGG